TCTGGTCAGCTGTGTAATGAGCACTCTCTGTGCTTTATCTCATCGTCTCTGTACAATCCTCCTCAGAAATAGTGCTATTCTCTTATCCATCTGACAGTGCAGTTAGCTTGGTCTTTCAGAGGTTAAAGAAATTGTCCAAATCACGTGCCAGGAATAGAATGCATGTGTGTGAGACCCTTTGTTAGACCGGGACCCCTCTACCTATGAGTTTCTGACTCCTTGGATGAGTTAAGATTTAGCAACGAATATTCCCCCATAACTGACAGGAACGCTGTGTCTGTTCTTCCCCCAGTTTGTCAGCGGCCTCCAGAAATCCTGCATGGCCAGCACAGCCCCAGCGACAAGGACAGCTTTTCCCCTGGGCAGGAGGTGCTCTACAGCTGTGAGCCTGGCTATGACCTCAGAGGGGCCGCCTCTCTGCGCTGTACACCCCAGGGAGACTGGAGCCCGGCCGCCCCCAGATGCGCAGGTGCCTACACTCACTCTCATCCTTTCTGCAGATGAATGTCTTTGCACCTCACATAGTGGTCTTACTCCTCCTTTATTTTCTGTAGTGAAACCATGTACTGCCTTCCGGGACCGACTTCCTAATGGTCGTGTGCTCTTTCCACTTAACTTCGAGCTTGGAGCACAAGTGTCCTTCGTTTGTGATGAGGGGTGAGTGTGACCGGGATAGTGACCCTCTTCAACAGGTTCATTCATTATTGGGGTTAACAAGTCCAAGGATTCCTTGACAGGCATTGAGTAACAGTCATTCAGTGAAGATCTGGAGGCAGTTCAGGAGACCAGTGTTCTGAAAATAAACCAGATGTTTTAGGATAATTATGCTCTAAGAAATCCTGTCCTGTTTTCTTCTTTTTTTTTCTAGTTAATTTGGCTCTGCTCTTCAATAATCCAGATAGGCCATAAGTCTCATTTAGGAATATTCCAAGTGTATTGGCGAAAAGTACCATCTCGGATATCTTCCCTCATGTTCTATGACTTGCCAACCTGCGTCAGGAGCTGTTTTCCTTCTGGTCCAATAAGAAAAGAAAATGCTACATTTCGTATTAGAGGAAACAGTTCCTCCTGATGACAAAAAGGGTGCTATCAGAGAGCAGTCAGGGAACAATGACCTCCTGGAGGCCTGGGACCAGGTCAAGAAAATGCCTGCCTATGTTTTTTTTAAATATATATTTTCATTGACTTCAGAGAGGAAGGGAGAGGGATAGAGAGATAGAAATATCAATGATGAGAGAGAATCACTGATTGGCTGCCTCCTGCACACCTCCTACTGGGGATTGAGCCCGCAACCCAGGCATGTGCCCTTGGCCAGAATTGAACCTGGGACCCTTCAGTCCTCAGGCCGTCACTCTATCCACTGAGCCAACCTGGCTAGGGCCTGCCTATGTTTTTTAGTCCTTCTTTGGTACAGGACTTTTACTCAGTAAGTGGAAGCTACCATTTTTCAAAATGTTTTGCTTTCTGAGCCTTTATCCCAAGAAACCAAATGCTGAGCTTTTTCCCCAGGGATTTAACTGAGGAATTAAATTGTCTTTTAGCAGAAAGGAAGAAGCTGAGCTCTAACCATGAAGGGAAGAGAGAAGGGGTACGCTCACCCAGTCACTACTGCTTTTGTCCCTTAGGTTTCATTTACAGGGAAGTTCTTCTAGTCACTGTGTCAGGGTTGGAACGAAGAGCCTTTGGAATAACAGTGCTCCTGTGTGTGAACGTGAGTAGAAGGAATATGTGCTCAGGTCTGAATATTTCTCCTTTTTCTTCTTTTCATTTTCTTACCGAGTTTTTGGAGTAGAAGGAATATGTGCTCAGGTCTGAATATTTCTCTTTTTTCTTCTTTTCACTTTTTCTTTTCATTTCTTACCGAGTTTTTGCCCCCATGAGATTATCAAGTGTCTGCTTCTCTGTTTACCTTCATTTTTGATAGAAATATTTCTTTGTGGGTTAGTTAAAAAGAATGCTTTTGGGGGAAAATAAACCTGAGCATCATGTGTTTTGGGTACTATCCAAAATATTTAGTAGCATACTATGTGCTATATATAAATGGGGAGAAATGCTTTGTAGATGGGGAGAAATGCTTTGTAGATTGAGAGAAATTTGTGCCCTGAAGTTTTGTCAAATTTTCTCTTTTTTCCTGGCAAAAGTGATAGTCACATTTCAGCTTTTCTATCCTTTTCTAAATCACCTATTCATCCATATATTATTTTTTAGCCCTTTCTATGTGCCAGTCTTCTAGACACTAGGAGTATGCCTGTAAACAAGATTGACTAGGTCCCTGCCCCCATGCTGTTTATATTCTTGGATGGGAAGAAAGATTTTAGAAAAATAACAAGTAGACAAGGAAACACATGGATAAATAAGTTCAAATAATACTAAGTGTCATTAAAGGGGGGGAAAAGGCAATGAATAGAATAGTTATGGGAATGGGAATAAGGATTGCCAGGAAAAAAAAGAATAAAGTTTCTATTTTAAATAAGGTAATTAAGGAAATCCTTAATGAGGAAGTAACAATTAAGCACTGGCAGCAATTAGGTGATGCCAATGTGAATTACATAGAGGAAGAACCTTCCATTCAGATGGAACAGGAAATGCAAAGAAAGGCCCAAGGCAGATGTTTTCTTGGAATTTCCTTTAAAAAGCCTGTTCTAACATTTTCTTGGAAGCTTAAGTAGCTGGTGTAGAGTGAACAGCTGAGGGGCCCAAAAGTCAGGTATAGCCAAGAACATCTGAGAGTACAAGCTAGGAAGCTACTGTAAAAATCTAATCAGAAATGTTAGTCGAGAATAGCAGTGGGAGAGGTGATAAGAAGTGCTCAAATTCTGGATGCATTCAGAAGGTAGAAATGACAGAATTTGCTGGTGGCTTACACATAGAGATTAAAATAGAGAATAAATGAGGGAGAGGTGATAAGAAGTGCTCAAATTCTGGATGCATTCGGAAGGTATAAATGACAGAATTTGCTGGTGGTTTACACATAGAGAATAAATGAGATCACCTAGTGAGTGAATGTGTCCATAGAGCAGGTGCATAGGCCATGCCTCGTAAATCCAACATGAGAACTCAGAACTATGAGGAGTCAGTAGAAGAGACGAAGAAGCAGCCGGTGCATTAAGCAAAAACCAGGAGGATGAGGGTATCTTTGGAAGCCCAGTGGAGAAATTACTTTAAGAAGATGAGCCCAAGCAACTCTTTTAAATTCTACAGAGAGGTCAAATAAGATGAGGACAGAAAATTATGCGCAGGTTGAGTGACTTGGAGGTAATGGGTGACCTTAACAAAAGCAGTTTTAGTAGAGTTGTGGGAGCATATGCTTGATTGGAATGAGTTCAAGGAAGAACGAAGGGGAGGAACGAAAGGTCATAGGCAACATCTTAAAGGAGCTCTAATGTAAAGGAGTAGAGAAATGGAACTGCAGAGGGAAGTGGAATTAAGAAAATTATTTTTTGTTTGTTTTTAAGATGACAGAAATATAGTGTGTTAAATACAGAAACACTACCAATATATTCAGTCTGTCCATTTATTTCTTTACTAAATCAAACAGAATATTGCTTTGTCTTCTGATCATAACTATTGAAAAATACATGTTTATAATAGAATTTTTCATGTGAGTACTCTGCTTTAAAATTGGACTTCTTGTACTGATTTATATAATGAATCTTGATAATTAGCTCTTTCATATTTGGAAGTCACCTATTAGAAAATCTTAACTTTCTGAAAGTATAGTTAAGAAGCATGAAAAAAAATAAAGAAAAAATATATTCTCATCAACCCAAAGATATACTTAAAATTGCTTACTAAAGTGTAAATGTTGATTAAGCTATTCTACTCTGAGATTAGTTTTTTTAAAAAATATGTTTTTACTGATTTTAAAGAGAGGGCGGGAGAGATAGAAACATCATGATGAAAGAGAATCACTGATAGGCTGCCTCCTGCACACCCCCTTCTGGGGATGGAGCCCACAAGCCTGGCATGAACTCTTACTGGAAATCAAGCTGTGACCTCCTGGTTCATAGGTCAGTGCTCAACCCCTGAGCAACACTGGCCAGATGGGATTAGTTTATCCATGATCCTATCAAGTTGCAATATCCTCTTCCCAAATACTGATCAAATCAGAAGGGGAAAGGAGCTTCTCCAGATAGTTATACTCAAAGGAAATAAAATCTGTAAACACTAGTAAGTATCTCAAAAGTCCTATCATTTCTGAACCTTTTGGAGCATGCACAGGAGTATGGAGGATGTTGCATTTCATTGTGACATTACTGTCCCATTCATTTTGTTTTTTAGAATAACAGCCTCAAGTCATCAAAAAAGATTAAATCACTGACAGGAAGTAGTAACTATATAATATATTTTGAAAGATTTCTTTAGGATGAAAATCCTTGATGTCTATTTTTTGCTTAAAATGGTACTTGATATATAGTAAGTGCTCAAAAACTTGCTTGTTAAATTAATGGATGATTTTTTATTAGATTGGTGATTTTCTTTTTAAGGTGGTTAAGATTTTTTTTTACTTTAAATGAATAATCTCTCAATTTTACAGAAGTCTTAACTCTCTGAAGAGTCCAGGATGCTAAACCCCTTTTGGACTTCTGTAATAAATGTTGATTTAGGTGTCTTGTCATTTAGCTGCATTTTGGCAGAGGATTTGATAATTAGTCCTCTTTATAACATATTTATTTTGCAGTCCATATGCTCCCTAAGAGCTTAATTGTTCTTTAATTGGCAATGCAGTCATAGCATCATAACTGTAGAATCAAGTCAGATTAAAATGTAAACATTATAATATAACTTATGGCTCTTGTCTTCTTTCTAGAAATCTTTTGTCCAGATCCCCCTGCTATCCTTAATGGGAACCACATAGGAACTTCTCTCAGAGACATTCCCTATGGAACAGAAATATCTTACACATGTGACTCCCACCCAGACAGAGGGATGACCTTCAGTCTCATTGGGGAGAGCACCATCCGCTGCACCAGTGACAGTCAAGGGAACGGGATCTGGAGCGGCCCTGCCCCTCGCTGTGAACTTTCTGGTCCTGCTGGTCAGTACCGACCTGCGTTTACCCTAAGTGGGTTCAGCATATCTGTACCAGAACTTTTATATTTCTATCATAAGATTACAGTGTTTGCTTGTGAGTTTAACTGTCATAAGTGGAAGTGTCAAATTACATGCCATCGCTGAAACAGATGGTTCCAGCAGTGCCAAGCTATGACTGAAGATGCTAATAACTCAGCTTGCTGGTTAAGTGGTGAGGAGAGTAGGGGAAGAGGAGAAAGGGAAAGGGTGGAGAGCAGACAGTAAGCACCTGTGTAAATCAGGAAGAAAAATAGATTCATTCGAGAGGACAGGAAAACAATTGCCTATGCCAGTGGTCGGCAAACTGCGGCTCGAGAGCCACATTCGGCTCTTTGGCCCCTTGAGTGTGGCTCTTCCTAAGCCTTAGGAGTACCCTAATTAAGTTAATAACAATGTACCTACCTATATAGTTTAAGTTTAAAAAAATTGGCTCTCAAAAGAAATTTCAATCGTTGTACTGTTTATATTTGGCTCTGTTGACTAATGAGTTTGCCGACCACTGGCCTATGCACACTAACCAATATCAGGATAACTGATAAAGCACCCTCTACAAGGTCATGGGCATGCAAAGGATAAAACTGGAAATATAGATATTATTTAGCTAAGGCTTTAGCTAGTCTTATGCTGAATAGGTTAAGTAACAAAATAAAGTCACTATAGCTTTGTATCTAAAGATCTCAACTCAAAGTTCACCCATTTGTCAGCTCGCCTAGGGGCCCATCTTAATCTTTCCTTGAACTCTTCCATTCCTTCTGGGAGTGTGAAGAAGCAAGGAAAGATCAGCTCAAGGAAAATAGTACAAAAAGGAAGGGACTATTTCTAAGGACTAGAGAAGATGGCCTGGTACTTGAGGCCTGACTTGAGGCCTTCCTAAGAATGAAACCTGGAGTAGACTCCATGCATGGCCAGCCTTGGATTACCACTTCCCCTGCAGGGAAGCCCTGAGAGAAGAGCAATCCAATGAGAAAAGGCCACATGTGATGAAAAGCATTTAGCATTTCTTTGATCTCTCTCACCCTCCAATTTGGTGTTCTCTACCTGAATCTAATGGTATTTCTTTAAAAGCAGATGCCTAGAACCCAGCCAGGCCCATTGAACTGGCAAACAGAAGCAGTCACCTCCAAAGAAGAGACAGTTGAGTTCAGACTCTACTTCAAATGTGCAGCACACAATACACTCTCTTATAAAGAAGACATAGTTTCTGAGAGAATGCTGCTTAATGGCTTAATCTATTTGTCCTTATCCTTAAGTGTCTGGTTTAGCATCAGAATGAGAAGAATAGTCTGTTGGTTTCCTAGGGCTGCATAAAAATCTACCACAAACCAGGTGGCTTAAAATAATAAAAGTTATTCTTACATAGATAATGGGGCTAGAAATCTGAAATCAAGGTGTTGGCAGGGCTCCAATCCTTCCTAAGGCTCTAGAGGAGAATCCTTTTTTACTTCTTTCAGCTTCTAGTGGCTCCTGGTTTGTGGTCTCATCACTCTAATCCCTGCCTCTGTCTTCACATGGCCTATTCCGCTCTGTCTCTGTGTCTCCAACACAATATACCCTCTCATAAAGAGGACATAGCTTCTGCCAGGATGCTGCTGAATGGCTTAATCTATTTGTCCTTGTCCTTAAGTGTCTGGTTTAGCATCAGAATGAGAAGAATAGTCTTTTGTTTCCTAGGGCTGCCATAACAAATTACCACAAACTAGGTGGCTTAAAATAATAAAAAGTTATTCTTTCATAGATAACGGGGCTAGAAATCTGAAATCAAGGTGTTAGCAGGGCCCCAATCCTTCCTAAGGCTAGGAAAGAGATGGTAAAATATGTCTTGCTATACAAGGGTACATTAACAGCAATAAATGAGGATATGAATGGTTAACTCTAGGTACAGGCATTCTGATAGGAGGTCTGACATGTGAGACCATTAACTAAATGTCTTGCTTCAGTGAAATAAGAGGATAAAGTTCAGAAAGGTAAATAGTCTTTAAGTGGAAAAATTTTTGATGAGTAGATGTTGTTGGAAAGCACCATCCTAAGGTAACTTCAAGAAGAAGAAAATACTTGCCATTATGATAAGTCTGTTTATGTGCTCATATATCAACTTAATTGGAGAGAAAGAAGAGTTGAGTGGGAGTCTCATTGCTCACTTGAAATTCCTGTGGCTTTAATCTCCAGGTTACTGTAAAGCTCCAGAACCATTTCTGTTTGCCAAGCCTACAACCATAACTGATGAATCGGAGTTTCCAATTGGGACATCTTTGAGCTACAAATGCTCCCCTGGGTATTTTGAGAATATGTTCTCTATCACCTGCTTAGAAAATTTGGTTTGGTCAAATGTGGAAGATGTCTGTAGACGTGAGTAACCCTATCCTGGGAACTATGTTCTGTATGTCAAACCATCTATGGGATCTGATTTAATTTGTTTTTATTTTGAAAGTGAGATATCTAAGATATTTAAATGGAGGGTAGACTTGTAAGTCATCCCTTTTTATTGTCTGGCTTTCTGCAGCTTGACCAGATATTCATTTCCTAGGAAAGACTCACACTAAAGGAATTGTAGGGAAACTTTCCATTCACTGGAGGTACCTTCAATGGTATGAATGAATGAAAAAGGAACACCAAAGAAAATTATGTGGGTCCCAGTGAACTGTGCTTAGCTAAGATGGAGGAAAGTCTCAAATTATGAAGCCTTTGATTTAGGTTGGTGGGATGAGAAAACCATTCTTTAGCCATGAATGATTTTTTATTGAGAGATGCAAGGTAGTCCTTTAAAAGAGGTGCCCTGTAGCTACTTGATTCTAAGGTCATATGGTGAGTATCCTCAAAGTGACAATTCTGTGGGGAAAATCACATATATATAGGCTAAGCGTGCTACACCCCAGTCTGAATCTTAAATCAAATGTAAATTTAACTCTACACCTAGTCCCAAATTCTGCTGCTTTCTCCTAGGAAAATCATGTGGATCTCCACCAAAACCTTTCAATGGCATGGTGCAAATAAACACGGATACTTACTTTGGATCAACAGTTAATTATTCGTGTAATGAAGGGTGAGTTGGGAGCACTCTCTTTTCATTCAAATGCACACAGTGTAGGGACACTAATGGAATTTTTGCTCTTGAATTTTCTTTGGGCAAGTAACTGAGCTAGAAGCCGTTGCCTCAACTTAGAGCAATTAAAGAAAGTATATTAATTTTTAGTTGCCACAATAAATTTAGAGGAAATAAGGTATCTAAATATATCACATCTTTCTGCATAAACTGCCCTTGGTGATCAGTCCCATCTTGTCCTACTCAAGTAGAATCTATGTATTGTACCTATGATCCAGCAATTTTAAACTAGGATAAATCCACATTCACCCCTGCTCACTTTGTCTGAGCCTGGAGATTTGAACACATTTCCATACAATCTCTTCACCAGTTCTTTCTCACCTCCCATTGTGAATAAGCCTAGAGCTCTTTCATTCATGAGCAAAACAAAACACCATGAATACAAGGGAAGGAAGATAGAGCAATTGAAAATACAAGAGCCATTTTTTCCAGAAATCAGAGAAAATATTCCTCTACAAATCAGTGTACTCCAATAAATAAGGGAATGAACTCTAAAACAGGATACTAGAAATCTCTCATATCTGTTTGTAACATAGAACCTCTGAAACAGTATGAGGATTTAATAATCTGATATCAGTAAAGTTTATATATGAGCAAACACACAGTAATCTAAAAAAGCAACAATAATCAAAGATTGAATTCTAAGAAAAAGAAACCAAATAGAGCCGGAACTGGTTTGGCTCAGTGGATAGAGCATCGGCCTTCGGACTAAAAGGTCCCAGGTTCGATTCCAGTCGCCAGAATAAATGAAAGACATCACTGGAAATTGCACACACACACACACTCACACACACACACACACACACACACTCACTCACACACATTTTCACACACATTGAAACATGAGAAAAAATTTAAAAAGCAAAAATTGGTGAAGTATCAATTAGCACAGCATGGAAGATACTTTCCCATGTCAGAAAGAAAAAGATTAGATTGTTAGAATCCTAAGGCTTACTGAACAAATGCAGAATAAATGATAAGAGACCCTTACCCTCTACGGAGAAAATTTATGACATTCAGATATCGAGAAAACTGAATTAAATTCTCCAGAATAAATGAAAGACATCACTGGAAATTGCACACACACACACACTCACACACACACATTTTCACACACATTGAAACATGAGAAAAAATTTAAAAAGCAAAAATTGGTGAAGTATCAATTAGCACAGAATGGAAGATACTTTTCTAGGTCAGAAAGAAAGAGATTAGATTGTTGGCATCCTAAGGCTTACTGAACAAATGCAGAATAAATGATAAGAGACCCTTACCCTCTACGGAGAAAATTTATGACATTCAGATATCAAAAAAAATTTGCAACTCTCCAGAGCTAAAATAAACAGAAAAAAGTTTATATTGCCATCAAATGCTTCTTCCATACTCTAGTGGAAATTAGTGTTTTGAGGGAAAATATTGTGCTTTAAAATATCTGTATTCAGCCAAGTCCCAGAAGTGTAGTCTTACATGACCAAGTATCCACAACATATACCAATTAGATATATTTCTTGAAAAAAAGAACAACTCCCATACTAGATGTGTTTTGATATCTTCTATGTGAGTATAGTACAATAACACTAGAAACTCATAAGCAAAACTTAATTAAAATTCAAAGTTTTGGATCTTGATCAAAGAGAAAATTTAAATAGCCATTGCAGATTACCTCTAGAAAAGCAATAATGGATGATTATTAAGTGCAGTTGTCCCAAGCAGTCTACCAAGTGATTTACATGAATTAACTTAATCTTTAAAATGATAATTAGAAATGGGCATTGGCCAGTTAAAAACACAGAATTCTGTTACTAATAAGGGAGAGAAAAGTGGATACTGGAAATATCTATAGTTTCTGCTACAAATGGTTAACTGCCCTGATCATGTATCTTACATAATCAAGAGGCAAACTTCTTAGCTGGTCCAGAAACGATCCCACTGTTATATGACATTGCATTAGACACCTTACCTTTCACTTAATCTAGGTTAGTCCTGCTGTACTTTGGAACACTTGACTAGCTTAGCAAGTATCCTTTGTGACATTTCTTGCAGCAACAGTATAGGGACATAATAAATAAAAAGAAGATGCGATATTCCAAAGTTTGTGACCTATTTTGAATGGTTTTATGGCACAGTGGACGAATACCCCTGCTTTCCACCATTAAAGTATGAAAATGATTAACTGCTTCTTCTGGCTCTTCACTGAATCTTCAGGGTAAAGCCATCATTCGTTCCTTCAATCAACAAATATTTTGTGAGCACTCCAAGCTTAAATGTCTTTTGACTAGGGCCAGAGACTGCACATATTTCCATTAAGACATTTTCTGCCTTTGAGAAGTTCTAATTGCCTTGACAGTACACATGGATTAAAAAAAAACACACCTCAGTTTCCCTAAAGATAAGTTAAAAAATGCTCCATTATGAATAACACCGTTATTGCACTGAATTCGGAGGGACTAGGAATGATGGATTAAAGAGGTGGGACTCTATATTTGTTCTTAGCAATAAACAACTGGTTTTCAGGTGGAAATGGGGTTTCTTCTTTGCGGTCTCCCATGTGTTAGTTTATCCTATAATTTGTGAAATCCTCTTGGCATTATTTTCTAATGGTGATTTGAGTGGGAAACGTGTAGGATATAATCATTTTTCATCTTGTTTCTAGATATCGACTCATTGGCTCCCCATCTGCTGCTTGTAACCTCTCAGGCAATAGTGTCACTTGGGATAAGGAGGCACCTGTCTGTGAAAGTGAGTGGAAATATTTTCCCCCATAATTCCCTCCAATTGACCCCGATTTGACCCTGTAGTTACAAAGAAGAAATGTAATCCTTCATGCACAGACTAGTCTCTGAGATACTTGAGAATTGGGGTCAATTGTTACATGGTTCTCCTGTTTGGCTTTTTGTTTTTAATTTTAAGAGGTCATTTATCTGAAACTGTGGGCTTGACCTCAGGTCAAACTGTCCTACTCTCCAACTTTTATAGTAAACTCTTTCCCGAGAAAAGATCATTCTCCTTTGAGTAAATTCAAAAGACATTAGAGAAAACTAAACCTGTCTCTGCCACCTTTTAATAGCACACAAAAATCCCAGGAAAGAGATACATGACTCTCTTCCTTATTGTTCTTACTTTGAACAACTAAAGAAAAAAATTACACTTCTTAACAAGGCTCTGGCCCTTTCTTCCTCCTTCAATTCCTCCATGCTCAAGCCCTAGTTGTATTTGTTCCTGATTAGCTGACTCTGTATTCAATGGGACGTTGTACAGTGAACCTCCAAAACTTTGATGAACATGGAAGAAGAAATACAAATGGATAGAGTGTTAAGGCTGTTAAGGAATCAGTATCACCTGCAGAATTGATGTCAGTAAAAGTGGGCACAAACTTCTGGAAGGCTAGTGAGGAATAAATACAAAAGCCGTAATGCAAGACCCTTTGACCTAGCAATTCCATTTTCTAGAACATAATCATGGAATTTGCCCATGATTTTGGTCTAAAGACATTCAATGCAATTATATTTATAATCGTGGGAAATGTTAAGAATCTAAGTGTTCAGCATGGTTTGAAAATAGCTAATAGAAGAAACAAGGCTTATTAAAAATGATTATACAATTTTAAGAAAGATGTAAGATGAAATTAGAGACTGAGATGCCTCATCCAAGCGGAAATAAACACTCTATCTATTTACTGGCATGCCTAAATGTTATCCAGCTAACAAGTATGATATTCTATAAAATATAAATTCAGCATGTGCATACATACATATCTGAAATGATATGCATTAAATTAAGGATATTTATTTTTGGACCGTTATTGTTTTCTTATTTTTGTTTGTCCATATTTTGTAAAATTCCTACAATGAATGTATTCATTGTATTCACAAGTATTCACACACACACACACACACACACATACACACAAACTAACTTTAGCTTTTAAAGATCCACAGAAATGAATGAGAAGTTATACAAGGTGCCTCCTTTAACTTGCCCATAATTTGAAATTCTCTGAAAAAGTATAAATTAGCAAGATATTATCCGTTTGCTATAAAATTTTTTCTAGGTCTAACACATTTTGTAGGGGGTTATCTCTGATGAAAAATGTTTCCACTTCTATGGTATTTTTAGGTCAATAAACAGTTAACTGAGTCAATATTGGTTATATATATATATATATATT